TGATGGATGGATGATGGACCCATGGGTGGATGGATACAACTCTTTGACCAAGGCATCCATGGAAATCAAGGAGAAGGGGCTGTGCTTTGTGCCAAGGAGGATCTTGAGGCTCAGGGTGTCGTGGTGGTGCCACCTGTGAGTGCCCTGATTGAACGAAGCTGCCTTCAAACCACAGGAAAAAACCCTTCTGTCACTCCAGGAGAAATTCTGGTTGGGTTCAAGGAGAGGAGGAGCCCCAGACCTGGGAGGGGGGTGCAGCTCAGCGAGGCTGTGGCATCTCTGTAATCCTGAGGATCTTCAAGCTTGATTCCATTTTTAGTTAATCCATTATTTGAGTGATGGTTCAGGTGACTTCCAGCCATCTTTTGCACCTGTGCACTTTTTGTTCTGCAAATCTTTTCAGAGATTTTCTGGATTTGCAGTTGGAGATTTTCTGGATTTGCAGTCGGATGAGGAGGAGCCTCTCCATCCTCACTTCCAGCAGCACCTGAAGCACCCTCAGTGCCATTTCCCACCTTTTTTTGGCTGTTTGATGCACATCCTCCCCTGTTTCTGTGCACCCCTTTCCTATTTGCTCGTTTATCCCTCAGAGTGGATTTTCAGGGCTGTGTTTTAGGGAAAACTCGACCTGTGGGTGTTCCACAGAAGCAATTACCTTTCAAAACCCCTGAAGATGGGCTGCAAGCGGATACTTAGATGAAATAAAGGGGGACTTTGGGTGTACAAACAGAACTTGAGTTCTTTCTGGTAATCTGGCCCTCATCCCAGCCTTTTTGAAGGATAATCATCGTTCCAAGAGAGGTTTTCATGGACTATAGCATACACTTTATATTTCACTGTGTAATGGAACCTTCCCTACACTCAAGCAAAACAATTTACAGAGCTAATTGCTGAACTCTGCAGATATAATCCTTTAAATGGGTTCTGTTAGATAAGAGTTTATGTTAAAAAAGAAGAAACGTTCTAGAGGAAAATTATTGTTTAGGGAACATTGATTTGCATGAATTAATGTTTTCACTTCAGCTGAGAGTTAAAAATGGATACTTAAGCTAAGCCCCATTTCAGTGCAACATCAATGCTTCATTAGTTCTGGTGTGAGCTGAAATCCATTGTTTGTTTGCTTTTTTTCTGCTGTCAAACTTCAGCTGGCACGGGGTCAAACTGTCCCAAAGATTTCATTTTTTTGAATTAAACAGGGAAAAAAAATAAAAAATGAAAGCCCTGCATGGACTCTGAGAGGGGAGGGTGGCTCAGAGCTCTCTTTGTTACTCACTGCTTCAGTTTAGACATTGCTCTCCACCCTCCTGTCTCAGCCTACTTATCAGGGAAATTAGGGGTGGTGTTAATGATCTTACCTGACACGGCTGTGGCAGGAACGAGCTGATGAATATTTGCACAGTACAATATTTGTACAGAGGTGCTGCAGCAGGAGCAGCCATCTGTCACATCTCTCACCTTTACAGTCTGCCAGGAGCGTTTGGGGCCGGGGTAACTTTTACAGAATTTGGGGTTTTGGTTGCTGTTTGTATGGCTTGGGTTTAAATTCAGAGCTTAGCCCAGGTCTGAGCCTGCTGCCAGTTCTTTATAGTCCCTAAAATCTGGGTTATGGCACAGAGTGAGAGGTTCAGCACTGTTTAGGAGGTGTTAATAGTGAACAAGACATGGTATTTAATCTAATTTAATTTAATTTCAATTCCTTTTCTCCCATGTAGACGAGTGCTGGTGGCAGACTGAGGGAGAAGGAATAACCCCAGCACTGTGGAACACAGGGTATGCGGATTTATTCTCCATTATTTTCTTTAACTATCCTGCAATTTCTGTGTTGTTCTTACCTCAGTTATATTCAGAGGAATGTTTCATAATCAGAGATATCCAAAGAGGAAAGAAATAAAGAAAATATTCACATTGAGGCCACTCCCAGCACGTGACCAGAGCTGGGCTCTCCAGCACTCAGCAGCTGAGGAAAATCTGGAGATCATTTCTAATTTCACCATGAATTCCCTTCTTTTGCAGGGTCTGCCAGTGCTGGCGAAGCCTTTTTTGAGAAGCACACAGAAAATCTGCCATCCCAACCCCAAATCTCCTTCCCACTGGCCACCAGCCTGAGCAGGAGCTGTGTCCAGGTGAGATGTTCCAGGATCAGCCTTTTGCTCCTTGTGCCAGCTGGGAATTGAACTGAGAATTCAGAGCTCAGGAACTTTTAAATTTAGGTTTATTGGTGTAATATTTTTATCACACAAACCCACTGCTGCCACAAATTTTTAAATTGAAATTAAGGGATAGGAAATGGGTAATTTTTAAGGACCCTTCCAACTCAAATAATTCCTTGATTTTACAAAATTCCTGGGTGCAAAAACACATATGAAGTGGAAAATTTGATTCTCACTGAGATCATTAAAACCTCCCTTTATTTTTATTTTTTTTTTTTTTACACCCACCATCCTGCTCGGAAAACTGGATTTATTTTTGAAATCCCTAATTAAGGATGGGAATTTCACATCAGGCAGATGCTGTCACTTTCTCCCAGCCCTTCCAGCAAAATTCCATGTGCAGGTTGGTGCCTTGGGCTCTGAGATTTGAGGATGGCTTTGAGAAGCTTTTCCCTCCTGGGAACTGCAGTGGCCAAGTTAAATCCCAAAGTTCCACCACAGGAAAAACCCCCTGAAAAAAGCAGGAATTACCACAGGATTTGGGCAGTAAACACAGCTTGGGACACTCTGGGTATTTGCTTTAATCCCCTCCGCTTCTATTTTGAATTTGCTGTGTTCTTACTCACCAAACCACTTTCCTTTTTCGCCCTGTTTGCCCGGGGCAGAAGGAGGAGGGATGTTTTGGAAGCTGGAAAAGTTCCACTGATTCCTGCAGGGTTTCTGAACCGAGCACTGCCCCTCTCAAACAGTGACCCTCTCTAGGATTCCCCAGAAATTCCCCATTCTCCCACAGAGTGACAGGATTCAGGTTCCTGAAGGTCTGAGGGTGTTGGGATTTAGGGGCTCCTGCTCCTTTAGGCTCAGCAGGAAGGATCCAGGGAGCCTAAATATTGTCCAAATAATGTTCAAATATTGCCAAAATATTGCCAAAAATCAGGAGCAAGTTTTTGAACCAAGCACTGCCCCCTCAAACACTGACCCTCTCTAGGATTCCCCACAAGGCAGGAGACAGGATTCAGGTTCCTGAAGGTCTGAGGGAGTTGGGATTTAGGAGCTCCTGCTCCTTTAGGCTCAGCAGGAAGGATCCAGGGAGCCTAAATATTGTCTAAATATTGCCAAAATATTGCCAAAAATCAGGAGCAAGTTCCTGAACCAAGCACTGCCCCTCTCAAACACTGACCCTCTCTAGGATTCCCCACAAGGCAGGAGGCAGGATTCAGGTTCCTGAAGGTCTGAGGGGATGGGGGATTTGGGATTTAGGGGCTCCTAAATCAGGAGCTCAGCAGAAAGGATCCAGGGAGCCTAAATATTATCAAAATATTGCCAAATATTGTCCAAATATGGCCAAAATATTGCCAAAAACCAGGAGCAAGTTCCTGAGCCAAGCACTGCCCCTCTCAAACAGTGACCCTCTCTAGGATTCTCCAGAAATTCCCCATCTTCCCACAGGATTCAGGTTCCGGAAGGTTGGAGGTAGATGGGATTTAAGGGCTCCTAAATCAGGAGCTCAGCAGGACAGATCCAGGGAGCCGAAATATTGTCCAAATATTGCCAAATATTGTCCAAATATTGCCAAATATTGTCCAAATATTGCCAAAAAATCAGGAGCAAAGGCATCCTTCAGCTGGCTGGAGCTCTGAACAACCAGGGGTAGAGGAAGGTGTCCCTGTCATGGAACTGGATGGGCTTTGAGGTCTCCTCCAACTGTTCTGGAAATTCTATGAGACTTGATTTATTATTATTTTTTTATTATTTTTTGTTTCCTCTCAGCAGAATGAAATATTCCAAGGATTTTGCTTGGTGAGGTTCAGCAGGAATTCCAAACCTGTCACAGAGCAAAGCCTCTTTTTCGGAGGAGTAAACAGATCTCACTTCTATTTTTATTTTTTTTTTCTTCCTTTTCCCTTGAGCTGAAATTTGGGAAAGCCATTTCACACCAGGCGCTGAGGCTTGGAAAAAGCAGGAAATAAAACCCCCTCTGGTGTTTGTTGGTTTTTTAGGTGCACCACCGTGCCCACAGCTCCTCTCACCACTCCCAGAGAAAGTCTGTGTGATCCTAAAATAATTCTGCACCTCTGGCCCACCAATATCCCCATTTGGTCAGCCTTTTATAGAGTAATTACTGTTTGACATGGCACTGCAGCTGGGGCTGGGCTTATTTTGGGTCAGGAGATATAAAAAGCTGCTTGTGAAGGAAAAAAAATAAATAAATAACACGCCTGTGTTTGTTGATCTGTCATCCTAAACAAATGAGTGCAGGGAGTTGTTTTTTTCTTGCTTATTCTTTTTGATTTATTTTGCTTTAAGGGTTATTTGTGGGAGAATTGGTTTGGCACCAAAGGCATCCAGATATGTCTCTAATTACCAAAATTTGAATTACTCTGGGCTGTTGTGGTGATATTGGGACAGTTTCATGGGGTGGCGCAAACCCAAAAAAGAGGCCAAGGTTTAACCATGGGAAATTGATTTTGCTGAGCAGGTGATGGGTGGGAAGCAGCGCCTTGAGGGGAAGGTCTGTCCCCCAAACCCTTGGATTTCTGAGCAGGCAGCTCATTCCCACAGCTCTGCGTGGTGTCAGCAGCGTTTTCTCGAGTCCAACATCAAAGTCCCTTCTGATTTTAATACCTTTGATATGCACAGGGATATTTCTGCACATGGATTTTACATTCTGGCCATGGATGGATGGAAAGGGAAAGGGAAAACAGGACCATGCACAAACTCTTATTCCCTGGCCCCAAATCCAGGTGCCTGTGTGGGAAACAAGTTGTGAAGCAGTTTATGGGAGCAGAGCTCAGGAAGTTGGGATATTCTATCCCCTCTCACAGTTTCCCATGCTGGGCTGGTTGTTTCACCTCAAATTTTAGGCATCCCACTCGATTTCACAGGAGATCCCAACATTTTTAGTCATCCTAGGAAACAATGTTTTCCACTGGGATGGAGGAAGTGGCTCTGGATCAGGAATCAGGGATTTGGTTTTATTTTTTTCTGCTGTTTTTATGGCCTGGAACAATCCTTAGCACTCTGCTGCACCTCTTTATAACACCAAAATGGGATTATAACACCTTGTCCTGGACTATATCAAGATGAAATTGAAGTTTGGAGAGATTTGGCATCAGAGGAACGCAGCAGTGATGGGGACAATTCCTGTGGTTTGGCTTTATTACCCATCCCAGCTTCTTGAGGAATTGTGTCCACGGAAATGGGGCTGGGGAGCAAACCAGGAGCAAACAGGCAGGGATCAAATCCCATCAGAGCTGCAGCCCTGGCTTGGTTTTTCTGTCAAAAATTCCAAAATGCACATGGAAAACCAGTTCTTAGAACAAAAAATCCAAGGCAGCTGATATTTCAATGGCCGTTGAGACAAGGGAGATGTGAAAATGAATATTTTGGGGGTTTTATCTTTTGAACGGGGAATCTGAAGGCAGAAGGGAGCTGGGAACAGTCCTTGGCTCAGGAATGGCTCTCAGGTTTCTTGGCTCCTGTTCTCCATCAGCTGTGCCAGGCAGGTGGGGAGAGGAGTCCTGGAATGCTGGGCTGGAGGCAAATCCATCCTGAAAAGGGAAACTCAGCCATGGACACGAATTTCCCTCTGCTGGATTGGGGTTTCCATCATATCAGGTGGATATTCTCAATATTATTCACATTATTCCTCACCTTCATCTTCATCTCCTTGCTGTTTCTGCAGGTGCTCCATCCCAGCTCTGACTCCTGATGGATATTTCCCTATTCCTGGTAAGAATCTGAATTTTCTTTTTTTTTTTTTTTTCTCATCTACAACAAACCTAACATGTCCAGGTGAATGTTCCTGTAGGAAGTACCAGGAAGGAGAAGAATTTGGAGCCAGGATGTCAAGGATGGAAAAGATTCCATCAGGAAAAGATTCCTACAGGAACATTTACCCTAAAATTACTCTGAGAGGTTTCATTTTATTTAAAACATTTACCCTAAAATTACTCTGAGAGCTTTCATTTTATTTAAAAGGCTTTTATTGATCAGAAAAGCTGCATTCAGAGGTTTTGTCTTGAGTAGCTACAACAGGTTTAACTCACAGTAAAGTTCTTATTTGGGTTCATTTCATCATCCTGGCTTTTGCTTAATTTCATGCTTCTCTTCAAGGCAACAGGGAGAGCCTCACATGGTGCAGAGATAGAAAAATAACTGCAGCTCTCCTTCCAGCCCAATAATTCTCTCCCATGTGTGAGCACACACAACTGGCAGGAATCACAGGGCAGACATCTCCACACCGCAGAAACTCCAAAAAATAAAAAATCAGATTTGTTTTGAAGCTGGGTTTAATTCGTTCGTCCAAAGTCGTGGCCGGTTTTGGGAGCTCAGAACATTCTTGCTGTTCTGCCTCAGGATGAAACTCAGATCATAGGAACTGCAGAGAGATCCCAAAATATTTGAAGCTGTTTGAGTAACTTCAGACCTAATTCAGAGCTCTTTGCTGAGTGAGGCCAAGCAGGGATTTGAACCGGATTTTTATGCGCGCTCTTTTCTTCTCTCTCCTCCTTTCAACTCCCAAGTTCCATCTCATATTAAAGGAACCATCCCTGGGGATTTCAGAAAAAAATGCTTTATTCATTTACAGGTCACACTTTATTTTTTTTAAAACTGACCTGGTGTTTTGTGTCCAGCCACCCCCACCCCTGACACAAATAAATAGGTTTTGCAGTGGAAATTTTCTGAGGAGATTTTCCTGTCCTGATCAACAATTCGTGTTATTTTACAACAGTCTGGGTTAGAACTCTGCCTAACTGTGGCAGAGAGAAAGGGGAAGGTCCAGGATGGGAAAATCTGGTATTTAGGGGACTGTGGATGGCTGTGCTGGGTTCATTGACCTCTTGCTGTCCTGGACAGAAAAGGAAACTCAAATTTTTCTTCCTCAGTCCGGATGTGACTCACCTGAGTGGGGAAGGCAAACATCCACAGGGCTGCTGCCCACTGGTGTCCCAGCGTGCCTGGGGACAGCTCATCAGCTGCCCGGCTCTGCTCTGTGGGTTACTCACCCTGTGCTGGTCCCCAGCTCTCTGTCACCGCTCAGTGAGCCCTTTCTCCCAGTTTGTCCCAAAGCCAGGGGCAATATTTGGGTGTTTGGTGTTTCCTTGATGCCCACTGTCAGTCCCGGCCTGTTTTGCTGGCTGCTGGAAACCTGTCCCAACTTTTCTGTCCCTTCCCTGTGCCTGCTCCCAAATCCTGACCTGGATTGCTGAGCTGTCCCAGTGCTTCACTGCCCACCACCAGGATGTCCCTGCTCCCAAATTTCTGCAGCCTGGCAGTGCCCAAGCAGCCCCTGCTCCAGCCAGGGAAGCTTTCTGTGGCTTTGGGGTGTGTTCCCACACTCCCTGCCTGCTCCAGAATGTTCCCAAATCCCCTCAGACCAAGAAACTTCCTAAAATCTCACTGCAGATGGCATCACTCAATGTGCTGTGACACTTTCCAGTGAGCACCGAGCTGGGGACACCAGCTCAGCCAGGCTGATGGGAAGAAGGTGGCCCTGAGCAGAGCCCTGGCAGTGTCACAGACATCT